GCTAGGGCAGCCCGCAAGGGCGACGCGACGGGCTAGGGCAGCCCGCTGGGGCGACGCAACTGGCTAGGGCAGCCCGCAAGGGCGACGCGACGGGCTGGGGCAGCTGCGCGTGCAGCTGTGCGGGCGGCTGCGCGTGCGGCTGCGCGTGCGGCTGACAGGCAGCGCGCGCGGCTGTCCTAGGGCGCACGACGGCGCTATTCGGGGCGCTCGATGGCGCTAGAAGGGGCGCTCGACGGCGCTAGTAGGGGCGCTCGACGGCGCAAGAAGGGGCGCTCGACGGCGCTAGTAGGGGCGCTCGACGGCGCTAGAAGGGGCGCTCGACGGCGCTAGAAGGGGCGCTCGACGGCGCTAGTAGGGGCGCTCGACGGCGCAGCGGAACGGTGGACCCAAACCAACGTCGGTCCTAGGTCCTGACCTAGGCGTCGGATACCATGTTATAATCTAGAAGTGAACGAGAATGTGTGAAACTAGGCAGCAGGGTGATACAAGTAGGAAACCCTAGCAATGTTGTACCCCCTAAGGCTAAACCCACTATAGCCTACACAATAGGAACATGTATAATGTTTGACATGCGCCCTCTACTGCGTTGCAAGCGTGCTTAGCTCCGTTGATCGCGCCCTCTGCTGCGTTGCTCACGCGCTCTGCTGCGTTGCTCGCGTGCTCTGCTGCGTTGCTCACGCCCTCTGCTGCGTTGCTCGCGTCCTCTGGTGCGTTGCTCGCGCGCTCAGCTACGCTCGCACGCTCAACTGCGTTGCTCGCGCGCTCTGCTGCATTGTTCGCGCACTCTGCTGCACTGCTCGCGTCTCTGCTGCATTGCTCGCGCCCTCTGCTGCGTTGCTCGCGCGCTCGGCTGCGTTGCTCGCACCCTCTACTGCGTTGATCGCGCCCTCTTGTGCGCTGCTCGCGCCCTCTGCTACCTTGCTCGCGAGCTCTGCTGCTTAGCCCGCGCGCTCAGCTGCGTTGCTCGTGCACTCAGCTGCGTTGCTCGCGCCCTCTGCTGCGTTGCTCGCGCCCTCTGCTGCGTTGCTCCCGCCCACTGCTGCGTTGCTCGTGCCCTTTGCTGCGTTGCTCGCGCGCTCAGCTGGGTAGTTCCCGCGCTCTGCTGCGTTGCTCGCGTCTCTGCTGTGTTGCTCACGTGCTCAGCTGTTTTGCTCGCGCCCTCTGATGCGTTGCTCGCGCGCTCAGCTATGTTGCTCGCGCGCTCTGCTGCGTTGCTCGCGTCTCTGCTGTGTTGCTCGCGCACTCAGCTGCGTTGCTCGCACCCTCTGCTGCGTTGCTCGCGCGCTCAGATGCGTTGCTCACACCCTCTGCTGCGTTGCTCGCGCCCTCTGCTGCGTTGCGCGCGCCCTCCGCTGCGTTGCTCGCGCCCTCTGCTGCGTTGCTCGCGCGCTAAGCTGCGTTGCTCACACCCTCTGCTGCGTTGCTCGCGCCCTCTGCTGCATTGCTCGCGCCCTCTGCTGCGTTGCTCGTGCTTTCTGCTGCGATGCTCGCGCCCTCTGCTGCGTTGCTGGCGCCCTCAGCTGCATTGCTCGCACGCTCAGCTGCGTTGCTCGCACCCTCAGCTACGTTGCTCGCACCCTCTTGTGCGTTGCTCGCGCCCTCTACTGCGTTGCTCGCGCGCTGAGCTGCGTTTCTCGCGCACTCTGCTGCATTGTTCGTGTGCGCTGCAGCATTGCTCGCGCCCCTGCGGTGTTGCTCTCGCGCTCTGCTGCATTGCTTGCGCACTAAGATGCATTGCTCGCGCCCTCTACTGCATTGCAGGCGTGCTTAGCTCCGTTGCTCGCACCCTCTGCTGTGTTTCTCGCGCCTCTGCTGCCTTGCTCGAGCCTCTGTTGCATTGCTCACGCCCTTAACTGCGTTGCTCGCGCGCTCAGACGCGTTGCTCGCGCCCTCAGATACGTTGATCGCGCCCTCTGCTGCGTTGCTCGCGCGCTAAGCTGCGTTGCTCGTGCGCTCTGCTGCGTTGCTCACGCCCTCTATTGCGTTGCTCGCGCCCTCTGCTACGTTGCTCGCGCGCTCTGCTGCTTAGCCCGCGCACTCAGCTGCGTTGCTCGCGCACTCTGCTGCATTGTTCGAGTGCTCTCCTCCGTTGCTCGCGCCTTTGCTGCGTTGCTCGCGCCTCTGCGGCGTTGCTCGCACGCTCAGCTGCATTGTTTGCGCACTCAGCTGCGTTGCTCGCATCCTCTGCTTCTTGCAAGCGTGCTTAGCTCCGTTGCTCGCGCCCTCTGCTGCGTTGCTCGCGCCCTCTACTGCGTTGCTCGAACCCTCTGCTGCGTTGCTCGCGCAATTTGCTGCGTTGCTCGCACCCTCTGCTGCGATGCTCGCGCCCTCTGCTGCGTTGCTCGCGCCCTTTGCTGCGTTGCTCGCACCCTCTGCTGCAATGCTCGCGCCCTCTGCTGCGTTGCACACTCCCTCAGCTGCATTGCTCGCACGCTCAGCAGCGTTGCTCGCGCCCTCTGCTGCGTTGCTCGCGCCCTCTGGTGCGTCGCTCGCGCCCTCTACTGCATTGCTCGCGGGCTCAGCTGCGTTGCTCGCGCACTCTGCTGCATTGTTCGCGTGCTCTGCTGCGTTTCTTGCCCCTGTGTTGCGTTGCTCACGCCCCTGCGGTGTTGCTCGCGCGCTCTGCTGCATTGCTTGCGCACTAAGTTGCATTGCTCACGCCCTCTACTGCATTGCAAGCGTGCTTAGATCCGTTGCCCGCGCCCTCTGCTGTGTTGCTCGCACGCTCTGCTGCGTTGCTCACGCCCTTTGCTGCGTTGCTCGCGCCCTCTGGTGCGTTGCTCGCGTGCTCAGCTACACTCGCACGCTCAGCTGCGTTGCTCGCGCGCTCTCCTGCATTTTTCGCGCACTCTGCTGCGTTGCTCGCATCTCTGCTGCGTTGCTCGCGCCCTCTGCTGCGTTGCTCGCGCGCTCGGCTGCGTTGCTCGCACCCTCTGCTGCATTGATCACGCCCTCTGGTGCGTTGCTCGCGCCCTCTGCTACGTTGCTCGCGCGCTCTGCTGCTTAGCCCTCTGGTGCGTTTTCCCTACGCCTATAAGGATACATGTGCTTCGTTACCATTTGTCGGCAGAGACAGCCGTCATCGCAGGCGCCGAACTTTTTGGTGCGCACGAACCAAGCTGGAATTGCTCTAGTATAAGTATTTGAGCATGGGCCACCCGAATATGCAACAACATTCAGGTAGTTCAATGCTTTTCTCTACGCCTATGGGGATTCATGCACTTCGAAACCATTTGTCGGCAGACACAGCCGTCATCGCAGGCGCCGAACTTTTTGGTGCGCACAAACAAAGCTGAACTTGCTCTGGTAGGTGTATTTGAGCATGGGCCACCCTAATATGCAACATTCAGGTTGTTCGATGCTTTTCCCTACGCCTATGGGGATTCATGCACATCGTTAGCATTTGTCGGCAGACACAGCATTCATTGCATGCGCCGAACTTTTTGGTGCGCACGAACCAAGCTGGAATTGCTCTAGTATATGTATTTGAGCACTGGCCACCCAAATATGCAACAACATTCAGGTCGTTCGATGGCTTTCCCCACGCCTATATGGATACATGCGCTTCGTTACCATTTGTCGGCAGACACAGCCGTCATCGCAGGTGCCGAACTTTTTGGTGCGCACAAACAAAGCTGAACTTGCTTTGGTAGGTGTATTTGAGCATGGGCCACCCGAATATGCAACAACATTCAGGTCATTCGATGCTTTCTCTACGCCTATAGGGATCCATGCGCTTCGTTACCATTTTTCGGCAGACACAGCCGTCATCGCAGGCGCCGAACTTTTTGGTTCGCACAAACAAGTGAAGGAAGGAATGATTGAACTAGCAAGCAGGTGGGTACAAGTAGGAAACCTAAAAGTGTTGTACCCTATATTGACTACCCCTCTACAGCCTACACAGACTATGTCATATATGTTTGACACACCCCCATAGGCAAAGTGGGGGAGAACAAGAGGTCACAAGACCAGTCAAGCAAAGCAAAGAAAATTCAGGGTGGATCACGACGTCACCACGCAGTCTGAGCACAAGCAAGTGGCCACAAGGCCAGTTCACATGCAGAGTTTTATAAAGGAGAAAAGCAATACAGTGATCACAACCTAGCAAGTGTAAGCATGCAGGTATATGTATAGAGATCACAGTACAAGCAGAGTCAAGAAGTAAGCAAGTGAGGCACAGTAGGCACAAGGCCTAGAACAGTACAGAAACGCTGATGATCACAATGCTGAAGGGCCTTGGTGAACACATCAGCAGTATTGGCCCGAGTGGCCACGTAAGCAAGACGAAGCTGACCACGCTGCTGCAACTCTCGAGCAAGGAAGTAGCGCAAAGCGATGTGCGTTGTTCTGTGCTCCAGTCTGTGCTCCTGACACAAGGCAATCATGGCCTTGTTGTCGACGTACAGCACTGGAGGAGAACGAGGCGGCTCTCCAAGGTCGGTCAGCAGGTAGGTGAGCCAGCGTAACTCCTGTGCAGCCATGGCCCCTGTGTAGATCTCAGCCTCACAACTGGAGCTGAGAACAGAAGACGAGCGGGTAGACCGCCAAGAAACAGAGCCGGAGCCAAGGCTGAAGGTGTAACCCTGTGACGACCGCTGCGTAGCCAAGTCGTCAGCCCAAGAAGCGTCTGCATGACCAGTGAGGACAACTGGAGCCCGTCCTCCAAGCACATGCCCCATGCCCGACGTACTGCACAAGTAGCGCAACACCCTCTTAGCAGCATCCATGTGCTCCTTCCTGTGTCGGCCAGGAGCGACATAGCGTGCTAGAATGCTAAGAGGGTAGGCTAGGTCAGGTCGAGTGCAGGTCATCAGGTACATGAGGCAGCCCACAAGCTTTGGATACGGGCCACTCGGCTCTACGGACTCGTCCGAAGGTGGAGCTGAGAGCGAGTGACCGGTAGGCAGAGGAGTGGACTGTGGCGAGGAGTACGTGAAGCGGAAGCGCTGAAGGACCTGCTGCACCATGTGTGACTGAGTCAAGGTAATGGTGCGCTGTGCTCAATCCCGGGTGATCCGCAAGCCAAGATAGCTTATCAGCTCACCCAGGTCTGTGCACGTGTGTCTCTTCTGCAGCTCCGACATCACCAGGTCGTCTACGTACACGAGAACGTAGAATGGCGGCAGAGTGGTGTCGGTGCGTAGAAACAGCGACGGGTCAGCAGTAGAAGGAGCAAACCCAAGAGCAGCAAGAGTCGTCCTCAGTGTGTCGTGCCACTCACGGGGTGCCTGGCGGAGACCGTAGACTGGCCGCCGGAGGCTCCACTTGGTACCAGGAGGAAACGACCCAGTGAAGCCAGGTGAGCGGCACAGCCAGATCTCCTCGTGCAGGCTACCCTGTAGGAAAGCAGTGCTGAAGTCAAGAGAGTGGAGCTCGTAGTCACGCTGAGCGGCGACGTGCAGCAGAACCCGAAGAGTGGTCATCTTCGGGGTAGGGGAGAAGGTCTGGAAGAAGTCAACTCCCTCACGCTGACTGAAGCCTCGTGCAACGTAACGCGCCTTGAAGACAGGCGGAGAACCCGGCGGCCGCTTCACCCTGAAAATCCACATGCCACTGACGATGTTCGCCCCAGGTGGGGGAACCTCATCGACGTAGGTGCTTGTGGACTTCCAGGAAGCCATCTCTGCGTCCATGGCTGTCTGCCACTGAGAGGAGTAGGGACCCTCTATCGCCTCTGCGTAAGAGCGCGGGGTCGGGATGTCTGGTGCATCCGGATCTCCCTCAGGGGCAATCAGCATGGACACGAGATGAGGTAAAGTAGCGGCAAAGCACTCAAACTCCTCCTGTCTGTCCTCAAGGACGTCCGTGCCAAGAGCACACTCACCCCCGACGGACGGAGGACAGACAGACTCAGACTCAGCAACAAGGCTAGCGGCGTAGTCTAGACGACAGGCGGCAGCAAAGTCAACAAGCTCAGCCACTAGAGCAGACGCAGCAGTGGACTCAAAGGAAGGGTCAGTGACAACAGTAGCGAGGAAACGCGTGACAGTAGGACTGGCAGCACGAAGGGAGTCAGACTCCGGGTCCGGACCGTCAGGAAGAGAGGACGCAGGAGGAGACGGCAGAAGGACACGCTGTGGAGCAGTGGAAGGACGCAGAGTCATATAGTGAGTGCCAGGGACAGGAGGAGGACGCTCACGCGGAACACGACCACCAGTGCGGACAGCGCGGACAGGCGACTCTGGACGAGACTCAGGCGACGCAGGACGAGACTCAGGCTCACGACGCTCTGTAAGACCTCTAGTCGGTCCAGAGTAAGGAGAAGGACCAGGCAGTGGAGAGGCTGGCTGAAACTGTGACTGCGACAGGACCGGCGGTGTACTCAGTAGGGGAGGAGTAGGACCAGTAGAAGGCGGGAGGCCAAGAACCTGCTGAAGGAGCGGAACGTAGTACGGCTGCGGCCGCGCAGCGCCTCCTGAACGAGCAGAGACAGCACCAGCACTCTCAGCTCCAGGGTCTCCAGCTACAACTCCCGCAGCACCACCAGCTCCAACAGCTCCAGTACCGCCAGCTCCAACTCCCGCAGCAGCTCCAGTCCCAGCAGCTCCAGTACCTCCAGTACGAGCACCTCCAGGACCAGTGGCTCCAGCACCGCCAGCAGCTCCAACACCAGCAGGACCTCCAGCAGCGCCAGTACCTCCAGCACTAGCACCTCCAGGACCAGCGGCTCCAGCAGCTCCAGCACCAGCAGCACCTCCAGCAGCTCCAGCAGCTCCAGCACCAGCAGCACCTCCAGCAGCTCCAGCACCAGCAGCACCTCCAGCAGCACCACCAGCAGCTCCAGCACCAGCAGCACCTCCAGCAGCTCCAGCACCAGCAGCACCTCCAGCAGCTCCAGCACCAGCAGGACCTCCAGCAGCACCACCAGCAGCTCCAGCACCAGCAGCAGCTCCAGCACCAGCAGCACCGCCAGCAGCCCCAGTACCAGCAGCGCCTCCAGCAGCACCACCAGCAGCTCCAGCACCAGCAGCACCTCCAGTAGCAGGCCCCCCAGCTCCAGCAGCACGGCTACAGCGCCGAGCGTACCACTCACGAAGCTGCCGTGGAGAGAGGGGCTCCCGCCGCGACGGGACACTCGGAGGACCTCCAGTCTCAGCACCCCCAGACACAGTACCCCCAGGCGCAGCACCCCCAGACTCAGCAACCCCAGGCTCAGCACTCCCAGGCTCAGCACCCCCAGACTCAGCAACCCCAGGCTCAGCACCCCCAGGCTCAGCACCCCTAGCAGCACCAGAGTCAACAGCTACCTCAACAGGCTCGACTGCGTCTACCTGAGACACACCTGAGGGGGCAGGACCCTGAGGGGGGAGGGGGTCTACTGAAGGAGTACCTGGCGCGAGGAAGAGCGGCGGGGGGGGAAGGGGGGCAGTGCGGTAGGGGAAGAGACGGTAGTAAGGAACCGACTCGTCAAACGTGACGTCCTGAGAGGACAGAACACGGCGCGAGGTGGGGTGGTAAAACTGCCAACCAGGCGCGTCAGGGGGGAAGCCAAGGAAGACGCAGGGAACGGCACGGGAGGACAGCTTGTCCGCAGACAAGTCGCGGACGAAAGCTCGAGATCCCCAGACACGGAACGCAGACGCATCGCCAACCTTCCCCGTCCACCGCAGAGTGGGGGTGGTCTCCGGCATGGAGACCCGGGGCTGAAGGTTGATCTGATGCGCCGCGTACTGAACCGCGAACGGCCACAGAAAATGGGGAGCAGCCGCATGGATCATGGACGTACGAGCGACATCCATGACCATGCCAATGCGGCGCTCAGCAATCCCATTTTGCTGTGGAGAGGCCGGAAGCGTGAACGTCTGGCGGATGCCCTCCGCCCGACAGAAAGCTCGCAGAAGGTCAGAAGAAAACTCTCCACCTCTGTCTGAGTGCAGACGCAGAACAGGAAAGTCCGAGCCGAAACTCTCTCTGAGCTGGAGACGAGCAGCGCGGATCCTGTCGATCAACACCTCAGTGACCTCACCCTTGCGGCGCAAGGGGAAGACCGTGGTGTAACGCGAGTAGTCGTCAACAACCAGCAGGAAGTAACGCTCGTGACCCTGTCCACGGACGCGGGCTCGGCCCCACACGTCCATGTGAAGAGTTTGCAGAGGAGCCTCTGTCGGAGGAAACTCGGAGGAGTGAGGAGCGGCGCGCTGTCGGCCCTCGACGCAGGGAACGCAGGTAGGGGCAGGCCCCGGAGGAAGGGGAGGGAGGGAAGGGGGGAGACCTGAGACAAGGAGACGGGAGGCCATGCCTCGAAGACGACGCAGGGAGGGGTGACCAAGGCGGTGGTGCCAAAGGAGGGTCTCGTGAGACAGGAGGCGACACGAGCAGGGGGCAGACTCAGGGCCAGACCGGGACGCTGCAGCAAACACCTGACCCGACGCGGCTACCCGACCAGACTCAGCAACCGGAGGAGACACGGTAGTCAGGGTGTACAGGCTCGACCCAGGCTGACGGGTGAACGTGGCCAGGTGCCGGCCCGTCCGAGTACACGAACAGTGGGTCACCCGCTGACCTCCAGGAGTGAACTGGTCAACCCACACGTCCTGAAGGTCAGCTCCACTCACCAAGTTCGTGGAGAACGAGGGGAGGTGGAGGCCAGACAGAGAGCCAGACGGGACCGCCGGACACGGCAGGACCGTGGAGGAGTGTGCAAGGACCGGACCCCCAGAGGGGTCAGCCAGAGAGACTGCCACTGGCCGACTGAGCGGTGAGAGTGTGGTGCAGTCGCGAAAGAAGGAGCGGGAAGCACCCGAGTCAAAGGTGAAAGTGTGCAAGGCCGCAGCAGGCGTAGTACCAGAGAGAGCAGACTCACCAGCACTGTCAGAATCCCAACCACTAGACCATTGGGATAAAAGGGCTTGTTAAGTAGCGGGTCAGTGCGCCCATAACCCCCCAGGCCAACATGCCTGTAACCCTTCCCTAGGATCAATCGGGGATCACCAGTGGATCTCTGACACCCCCCCGTACTGGGATGCCCGAAGTGCATACACTAGGATTCGAACCCGAGACCTTCGCTCTGATACCATGTCAGAATCCCAACCACTAGACCATTGGGATAAAAGGGCTTGTTAAGTAGCGGGTCAGTGCGCCCATAACCCCCCAGGCCAACATGCCTGTAACCCTTCCCTAGGATCAATCGGGGATCACCAGTGGACCTCTGACAAGCACCTGGAGGAGTGGACTCCCTAGCGCCTAGAGCAGCAGCCTCACCGGCACCTGGAGCAGGAGACGCACCAGCACCTAGAGCAGCAGCCTCACCAGCACCTAGAGCAGCAGACTCTATACCTGGGTTAGGCGGCACACACAGGTAACAGGCACCCTCAGCACTAGTAGGCAACGCATACATGGCAGTGAGGATAGCATCATAGTCAAGAGCAAAGATATCTACCCTCTGCCTAAGCAGCTCCACCCAGTCGGGGAGCTCAGCCGCGTCGCCAAACTCTGTACGCCAGGCGTCGCTCAGACGGGAGAAGCAGCGGGACTGTGTGTGACCAATCGTCCCGCAAGGCTGACCAGCCCGAGCACCAGTGCGAAGGACTTACGGGCAGTGAGCAGTACTCCGTGACCCTCCACTCTGAGCGTACCACTCACGAAGCTGCTGGGGTGAAAGGACCGCGCGCGGACGCCGCTGCCGCTGCACCTGGTCACTACAAGAAGCTCCCGAACGACCCGCTCCAGGGCGACTCCCACCACGGCCACCCCTACAACCCCAACTAGCGTACCACTCACGAAGCTGCTGGGGCATGAGGGACTCACGCGGACGTCGCTGGAGCTGCATCTGGCCACCGCCAGGAGCAGCAGTAGCAGTAGTAGCCGCAGTAGCAGCAGTAGCAGCAGTAGCAGCGCGGCCACACCTACAACCCCAACTAGCGTACCATTCATGAAGCTGCTGGGGCATGAGGGACTCGCGCGGACGTCGCTGGAGCTGCATCTGGCCACTGCCAGTAGCACCAGTAGCAGCAGTAGCAGCAGTAACAGCTGTAGCAGCAGTAGTAGCTCCTAGGGCAGCAGCACCTAGGGCTCCTTTTTGTTTTTGTTTTTGTTTTTTTAATAATTATTTATTTATTTTAGGGTTTGGCAGGGCGCGCTGGGCGCTGCAGAGGCAGCTCGCGGACTGCAGGGGCAGTGCGCGGGCGGCTTGCACGGGGCGGGGCGCGTGCCCTAGGGCGACGCGACGGGCAGGGCAGGGCGCGGTGGCCCTAGGGTGACGCGACGGGCAGGGCAGGGGCGGCGCGCGGGCCCTAGGGCGACGCGACGGGCAGGGCAGGGGCGGCGCGCGGGCCCTAGGGCGACGCAACGGGCAGGGCAGGGCGGCGCGGTGGCCCTAGGGTGACGCGACGGGCAGGGCAGGGGCGGCGCGCGGGCCCTAGGTCGACGCGACGGGCAGGGCAGGGGCGGCGCGCGGGCCCTAGGGCGGCGCGACGGGCAGGGCAGGGGCGGCGCGCGTGCCCTAGGGTGACGCGACGGGCAGGGCGGGGGCGACACGCTTACCAGGAGCGGGTGCAGGGCAGGGCCGCGACGGGCGGTTAGGTCAGGGCCGCAACGGGGCGGCTGTAGGGCAGGGCCGCGACGAGGCGACGGCAGAGCAGGGCCGCGACGGGGCGGCAGCAGGGCAGGGCCGCGACAAGGCGGCTGCAGGGCAGGGCCGCGACGGGTGGCGGCAGGGCAGGGCCGCGACGGGCGGCGAGGTCAGGGCCGCAACGGGGGGCGGCAGGGCAGGGCCGCGAAGGGCGGCTAGGTCAGGGCCGCGACGGGCCGTTAGGGCAGGGCCGCGACGGGCGGCAGTAGGGCAGAGCGCGCGACGGCGCAGGTGAGGCAGGCGCGAGGCGCGCTTCGAGCAGGGCAGGAAAACGATCGTGGTGGGCCCTTAAAAACGTTCCCACTAGGGAACCTGCTCTGAAACCATGTCAGAATAGTGAAGGAAGGAATGATTGAACTAGCAAGCAGGTGGGTACAAGTAGGAAACCTAAAAGTGTTGTACCCTATATTGACTACCCCACTACAGCCTACACAGACTATGTCATATATGTTTGACACTCTGGTAGGTGTATTTGAGCATGGGCCACCTGAATATGCAACAACATTCAGGTCATTCGATGCTTTTCCCAACGCCTATAGGGATCCATGCGCTTCGTTACCATTTGTCGGCAGACACAGCCGTCATCGCATGCGCCGAACTTCTTGGTGCGCACAAACAAAGCTGAACTTGCTCTGGTAGGTGTATCTAAGCATGGGCCACCCGAATATGCAACAACATTCAGGTAGTTCGATGCTTTTCCCTACGCCTATGGGGATTCATGCACTTCGTTACCATTTGTCGGCAGACACAGCCATCATCGCATGCGCCGAACTTTTTGTTGCGCACGAACCAAGCTGGAATTGTTCTGGTAGGTGTATTTGAGCATGGGCCACCCGAATATGCAACAACATTCAGGTAGTTCGATGCTTTTCCGTACTCCTATGAGGATACATGCGCTTCGTTACCATTTGTCGGCAGACACAGCCGTCATCGCAGGCGCCGAACTTTTTGGTGCGCACAAACAAAGCTGAACTTGCTCTGGTAGGTGTATTTGAGCATGGGCCACCCGAATATGCAACAACATTCAGGCTGTTCGATGCTTTTCCTTACGCCTATGGGGATTCATGCACATCGTTACCATTTGTCGGCAGACACAGCATTCATCCGCATGCGCCGAACTTTTTGGTGCGCACGAACCAAGCTAGAATTGCTCAAATATTTGTATATGAGCACGGGCCACCCGAATATGCAACAACATTCAGGTCGTTCGATGCTTTTCCCTACGCCTATAAGGATACATGCGCTTCGTTACCATTTGTCGGCAGACACAGCCGTCATCGCAGGCGCCGAACTTTTTGGTGCGCACAAACAAAGCTTAACTTGCTCTGGTAGGTGTATTTGAGCATGGGCTACCTGAATAGCAACAACATTCAGGTCATTCGATGCTTTTCCCTACGCCTATAGGGATCCATGCGCTTCGTTACCATTTGTCGGCAGACACAGCCGCCATCGCAGGCGCCGAACTTCTTGGTGCGCACAAACAAAGCTGAACTTGCTCGGGTAGGTGTATCTGAGCATGGGCCACCCGAATATGCAACAACATTCGGGTAGTTCGATGCTTTTCCCCACGCCTATGGGGATTCATGCAAATTCGTTACCATTTGTCGGCAGACACATCCGTCATCGCATGCGCCGAACTTTTTGTTGTGCACGAACCAAGCTGGAATTGTTCTTGTAGGTGTATTTGAGCATGGGCCACCCGAATATGCAACAACATTCAGGTAGTTCGATGCTTTTCCCTACGCCTATGGGGATTCATGCACTTCGTTACCATTTGTCGGCAGACACAGCCGTCATCGCATGCGCCGAACTTTTTGGTGCGCACGAACCAAGCCGGAATTGTTCTGGTAGGTGTATTTGAGCATGGGCCACCCGAATATGCAACAACATTCAGGTAGTTCGATGCTTTTCCGTACTCCTATGAGGATACATGCGCTTCGTTACCGTTTGTCGGTAGACACAGCCGTCATCGCATGAGCCGAAGTTTTTGGTGCGCACGAACCAAGCTGTAATTG